ACATACTGGTATATTGGCTTCTGATCCTGGAAAATCCAAAAATAGGTCTTCAGGTCTGGCTGGCCCAAGAGGCTCCAAAGATACTGCCAAGCTCGCTTTCTCTCTGCTCTCAGCTCTACGGGTCTCTGCTTGATGCTGAGAGCGTGGTTTCCCCTGCAGGCAGACGCTTCCACATAGTGGGGGTCTCAGGAGTCCCGAGCCCTCATCACAGCTCACAGCCTGAAAGAAGAGACCCTCACTCTTCTAGCACCCAATAGGATCCCATTATTTCTAATTTGGGGTCCACGCACTGTAACCAGGGACATGGGGTCCTCATTGGCCAGCTGGGAGTCATGGGCCATGTATGTGGTCAGGATTGACAGTCCCACAAGTTTTACACCGGATGTCCACGTGGAAGGGGAAGGGACCATGGCTGATAGTTTGGCTGAGAAAGAACAGTCTTCAGGTGCTGGTGGGAGTTATTCCAGGAGCTTGGTGTTTGCAAATCTCAAACCACTGGGCTGCAGGGGGAGCAGAACAGCATCTCCCACCAGAACCTCCCCATAGCAACTCAGCTACTTCCTCTTCACAGGATTGAGGGCTCTCACAGTCTCTCACCTCTGTTCTGTGTGCCTCTCCCTGCCTCAACCCTCTGCTTACTCCTTCCTCATCACTGCATCAGCTTATGTGCCCATGGTATGTGTGCTGAGCACTGTCCTGGGCGTGGGGGCTACAGCAGTCAGAACAGCAAAAATCGGCCCTCATGGAGCTCCCACTGTAATGGGAGGACAGGATGAGAGGACAAATGATACATGTCACCTGTGAATAGCACGGAAGGGCTTAGAGAGCATGGGGTATGTGGGCTATTTTATTTACGGTGGCCCGGGAAGGCCTCTTTGATAGATAACATTGGCGTGGAGACCTTAAGGAAAGGAAGGAGCCAGGCCTGGGGATGCCCAGAGGAAGGCCGGCTAGGCGAAGGGCACTTCTGGTCCATGTTCTCAGAAGGGACACATTTGGCGTGGCTCCAGCACAGCCCCCAGGCCAGCAGGCTCAGAGAACAGGGTGCAGGGGTGCTGGGGAGCACAAGCTCTCATGGGGCTGGGCAAGCAGGGGGATAGCACAGCATGGAGAGCTTGGTAGCAGTCTCAGCATTTTGGCCTTGACTTTGAGGGCAACAAGGAACTACCTGAGACTGAGCACAGCAGAAAAGTGATCAGCTATACATTTTGGCTTCTGGAAGGAGACAAAAGTTGGAAACAGAAGACCAATCAGAATTTTTTTTGCAAGTCCAGGCAAAGGATCACAGTGGCCTGGAAAGGGATGGTACAGTGCAGTGAGTTGGAAGCGGCCATACTTTGGATCTGACTGAAAGGTGGAACCGTGTTTTGCTGATGGATCAGATGTGGGATGCACAAGATAAAGAAGAGTCTGGGAAGAGTTGGGTTTGGGGCTTGAGTGTTGGGTGGGTTGGAGCTATCCCTCACTGATCTGAGGGCAGCCGGGGAACAGCCTCATTGTCTCCAGGCTTCCTAGTTCTGTTTCTTGAGAGAGGAGGATGGATTGGTGCATCATGGATTTGTGCATAAGTCCAATTCTGAACAGGTAATACAATCGCTGGTACAAACTGGTCTACATGAACAGGAAGTGCCTATGGGTGGAATATTTTCCTTAGAGGAGCTGTGTGTCTGGGGCCATTCTGATAGTCTCACAACAGGGTCTTGACTACCAATGACTTGATCTTCTCCTGCTACCTCCCGCCTCCCGTCTCCATCCTTCCCCAGACACCTGCTTCTCCATCAATATTTTTATCTGGTCTATTTCTACACCTTTGCGCCTGTGGTCCCTCAGCCTGGGACATGTATTCTGATCTGTCATATTTCATGTACCTCAGCCAGCAACTCTGTGGGGTTGGAATGGGACTAGCAGAGTCCAGACAAATTCTGGGGAAAGTGAACAGAAGCTGCAGAATAGGTCCTCGTGTTGTTGGGGTGGGTGAAGAGGCTGTGGTCAGAGGAGGCAGTTGGTATGTATTGGGGCCCTCGGGCCGATTCCCGCTGAAATCAGTACCCCAGGAAGGTCACAGCACAAAAGGTTCTGTATGACGTGGCCACTATAAACAGTGCAGCCCATGCAGTCCACTTCAGTGGGAGGGAGACTAGAAATAGAATGGAAGAGAAGAGGTTCTGGGGGACCCTCGTAAGTGGTCTGGCTCCCAGTTTGATGGACTGGGCAGGGCAAGACTGTCTGGGGGGCTTGAGGCAAAGCCAGGCACTGGGGGCCAAGCACCTGCTACATATGACGAGGGCCATGCTCAGGGAACCGCCCTGGCCCAGCCCAGTCCCTGGCAACTTTTAGGAACTTCCTTGCTCGACAGCAGGCAGTAGTCAGTTCTGCCAGTCTGGGCTTTCTGGAGTTCTAAGCAGGATTCCAAAGTGGGGTGCACATGTTCCAGGGGTACAATATAATCCATTTGGGTGTGAGAAGAAAACATTAAACAGAAGTTCTAATTTCTGTGCCTTCCAATTTCATTCTATTTTATAAGATTCATAATGTCAGCCAAGTAGCACATGTGTGGAATGTAGAAGTAAATATATATATGAAATGTTTCAGTTCATAACCCTTTTGCAGATAAGTTTCATAACCCTTTTGACTGAGGAAGCTTGATGGTTACCCTTTGAGGAGACCAGTGGTCAAGAGAGGCAACGGCAGGCAAGGGGGAAGGGAGGATTGTCGTTTGCTGGCATGGAGAAAAGAAGAGGGAAGGAGTTGGGGACTTGCTGATTTATTGGGGTTCCTGCCTGTCCCTAAGTTGACACAAGGCAGGTAAGGCTGGGCAAACTGGCTTGGGGAAAGGTGTCTGGGGCTGGTGGGAAGGAGGTGTCAGGAGACACTGCCCCAGCCAAGGGGCAAGGTCATTCCTGAGCTGCCCCAGGCCCTTGGGGCTCATCGTTCTTGGAAGCAGAGCATCCAGAGCCTTTCAGGTGAGAGGAGGCTGGGCGGTGCCTGAGCTAGGAAGGCTTCCCGAGCTGGAAAAGGCAAGTCTCCCAGGGTGGGGTGCCGGAGGAAGCTGGGGCTTCTGCTGGCGAGAGCAGGGAGGGCTAGAACTGGAGGCTGTAGAAAGGAAGGCGAGGGGCAGGTCTAAGTCTCTCAGCAGCAGCAGCAGCAGCAGCAGCACCCGCACCCTGGGCACCCTGACATCCTTTCCCCAAGCAGGAACAGAGACACAAGGACGGACACAGAGCCTTCTCTGTCACCCGGGCACCACAGGGCTGTCTGAAAAGACAGATCTCCTCCGCCCGCTGCCCCAAGACTCAGGCAGGCACAGAGGAATCCAGCCACATCCCCGAAGCCACCAACCCACCGCCCAGTGCCTGGACTCTGCCAGACCCAGCGGGCTACCGGGCCCTGAGCCGATCCAGAGTCCCCGCCAGGCTGGCACTCTCCCGTCCAGAAGTGAACACAGCCAGGACATGCGGCTGGTGTCTGCGGCCTCCCTCCTCGGCCTCCTCGCAGAGGGGCGGAGTGGGGGCTGGAGCCAAAGTGACCTCGCGGGTTTCCGAGCAGGGGAGGAGGCAGGACGGAGACCAGCAGGCCGGTGGGGAGAGCCTGCACCCTGGACTGGGAGCACCGCAGACGCGGCCTGGGGTGGAGACACGGCGGAAGCCACTGCAGTGTCCGAAAGCAGAGCTCCTCTCGAGGAGCGAGGAGCGAGGAGCGAGGGCGGGCGGGCAGGAGATCCCCTGCGCGGGAGGGGTCTCGGTCAAGAATTTGGGGTCGAGGGAGAGTGGAGTTGAGAGGGTCAGTGAAAGGATTACTGGGGACCGACCGGTGCGACAGAGGCCGGTGCCACAGACAGGCAGAGACAAACCCGGAGCCACGGGGAGTGACATACAAAATTTTATTATTATTATTTCTTTTTCTCGTGTGCACAAAAAAAAATCAGAACGAACCGGCGCGCTGAAAGTGGCTACGGAAACCCAGGTCGACGGGAAATCTTCCCCGGGTCCCGCAGGACTGGGCCGGCGCCGCAGTTCCCTTAAACTTTCCCTTTCTTCAGTTTGTTTTTTCCTTCAAATACAAAGGCTCGAAAGGCAGAGATCTGGGAGAGGACTCCGAGCCTTTTCGGATTTGTTCAAGGACTTTTATTTGTTTATTTCACTTTCATTGACTTTGTTTCTGTATTTCGAGTCGTCACGATCCACGGGTGAGGAGACATGCAGGGCGCATCGCCGCTACCGAGGGCAACTACCGGGCGGGGGGCGCGGGGCGGAGGCGGAGACGGAGACGGAGAGGGAGAGGGAGACGGAGACGGAGACGCGGACGAGAGGGGCCAGCAGGAGGAGCGCGGAAACGCGGAAGTACAGAGAAAGAGCCAACAAAACAGGCGAGAGGGGTCCACGGGACCATGTTCGTCATTTTGCATAGAGATTTTTCGTAATTTTTGTAACGTACAAAAGCCCCTCCCCCATCGTGCTGCGCCTCGCCTCGCAGGGGCGCAGCTGTGCCCTCCCGGCGGCGGCGATTCTCGGGCACCTCGCGGGGCGCATCTACGGGCGGGGGCGGGCGGGGCTCTACGGGGCGGGGCTATGTACAGGGGCGCGGCCGTCCCTCGGCAGCGGCCGTGCGGTTCGGCAGCGCGGCCCCTCGCGGCTCTGTCCGCTCTAGGCCCCGCGGCGGCGAGGGCAGTCTGCGGGGAGGGCCGGCCAGGAGCGCCGCGGGGCGGGGCGGGGCGGGGCTGCGCCGTCTGGGGTCCCGGCCTGAAGCGCCCGGCCCGCCCCGAGGCCCGGGAGCCTTCGCCGGGGCGGCTCCGTCCCTGCCCGCAGCTGGTGGCTGTGTCCCCGATCCTCCGCCCGGCCCTGCGGCGAAGCCCCGCACGCACGGAGTTCGCGCTGATTGTGTGTCACAGGAATGCGCCCGCGGGGCATCTCGAGTCGGCGGGCGAACGGCCGGGCCGGGCCTAAGGGTCGCGCTCCCCGCCCCCCCAGTCCCGCAGGCCGGGCGCGGAGGCGCGGGCGGGGTGGGGCCGGGCGGGGCGGGGCGCGTCCAGGCTCCTCGGCGGCGGTCACACGGGGACGATGTGCAGGCCGAAGCCGTCGGCCTGGAGCCGGACGTGGTCCGCGCGGTGACTAGTGGCGGTCATAGGCAGCGGCAGCAGCGGCAGGGGCGGAGCCCCGGGGGGCGGCACTATAATAATAAGGGGAACCTGGAAGTTAACACAGGAGAAGAATGGGCTGGGTGAGAGGACAACAGGAGGACCACGAGGAGACAGCCAGCCGCGCCCTCCCAGCGCGTCCAGCGGGTCGGGGCCGGGCGGGGCCGATGGGGCGCCGGGCGGGGAGGGGGTTCGACCTCCGGGTCCCGGGCCTCTGCGCCCGAGAACCAGCCGGTCCCGGCGGGCTGCCCCGGGCGTCCCCGCGTCCCCAGGCCGCACGGCCAGGCCAGCCGGCGGCGGACTCACTTAGTAAGGCGGGGTTGCTGAATCTCCATGCCTCGTTGTAGGCCGTGTACTGGGGGTGGCTGTACGGGTTGCCGGAGAACTCGCTCCCTGCGGAGGGCGGAGCGGCGTCAGACGCGCGGTGCGGTGCGGGGCTCCCCACCCGTGCCCAGCCTGGCGTGGGTGTCGCAGGCCGGCCGTGGCTGCTGCGAGCCCGTGAGAGGCGGAGCAACGCCCAGGTCCGCTAGGCGGCGAGGAGGCCGGAGGCGCCACGCTCCCCTCTCACGACGACGCTCCGGACGACGCTCCGGGCAGCGCGCGTCTGGCTCCCCAGGTGGCGCCCTCTGTCTACCTGGGAAGGGGCGCCTACCCCGCCAACTCGGGCTCCAAGAGCTGCTGTAGTGGACGCTGGTCTTAGGAGCCATTGCCTCACGGGGTGGGAACGGGGGAGGTGGCCAAGAAAGGCCCTTGGGCCACTTTGTCCCAGAAAGTCTTAAGAGCGGCGTCTCGGCGTCGTGCCAGTGCGAGGTGGGGTGATCTGCTGGGGTCCCCCGAGTTGGGATATGCGGGCCGGAAGCAGGTGGACTGCCCACCGGTCCGGGCAGAGCCGTCGGAAGCTGCCTCCCCCTCCCTCCGGGCAGAAAGGCCAGGCCTCCGGGTTTCCCCTCGCCCTTTCTCCTGTGTGCTGACCCCAGACTGTTTACAGTGATCCCTAACCGCGGGTTAAGTAGAGGAGAAGGGCCCCTCTCTGAGAGGGAGCCGGGTGGGGGTGGGCGACGCAGCCACTGGAAAGCCTGTTTATTGACGAGGAGGGAAAGCATGCGTGCAGCAGGATAATGAGCTTCTGAGCTCAACTGTGACCAAGAGGAACTGAGCTATCTCCTTCCCCATCGCTAATGAAACAAGTGTAATTTCCTCATCAGCACTAGATTCTGTTTAACGACTCCCCCCCCGTGCCACCAGGAGCTCGAGCTCTCTGCGGCTCCCCATCCCCACCTCCCTGCAGACTCCCCACACCCACCTCCCGCTCTTCCCCCTCTCCAAGACCTCCAGCCTCCACCTGCTCACTGCTGGGACCTTCCCCAAGCGTCTCTTTCCCCCAACAGTGCTTCCCCTTCCTTTCGCTGATACCTGCCACTTCCTTCAGCCCTGTTCCTAGCACCCTGCAGCGGCCCTCCCACCCTAAGCTCTGTTTACCAGGGTTGTCCCTGGATAGAGGCAGCCAATCACCCTTTTCTATCCTCTCCCTCTGCCCATACCAATGACAGTTGAACTTCAGGGTCAGGGCACACAAGACCGCCCCTAGAAGCAGGCTGGGGTGAGTCTTACCCTCTGTAAGACAGAGTTTGTGGGTTTGAAGCCCTGCTTCCCGTCCGGGTGAAGGCTAGGACAGCACTACCACAAGCCTCAGGCACCAGCCTCTGCTTCCAACTTGTACAACCCAAACCCCATACCTCACAGGCAAAGGGTGGCTCAGAGCCTCGGAAGAGCAGCAAGGGCCTAAGTCCTTGGGAGAGATGTGGGGGTGTTCTAGCTCATCTCTCTGCAGCCAACCTCTCTGGCTCCTGCCATAGCTGGTCTCTGCTCCTCTTAGGGCGTCACTCCCTCCCCTCTGGACTGGGTTGGTCCTCCACATTGGTCTTCCCTGAGGCGTGGCGTGGCCCAGTGTGGCTTTGTCTCACTGAGTGACGTGGCCCTGGAAATGGTTCTTGGCTCCAAGTTTCCATGGAGACCAGGGCAGGCTCTTCTAAGTGGAGTCAGCTGGCTGGGGTGGGCTGGCACTGAGGGTGGAGCTGAGGCTGAGGGTCCTGGGCTACTGGCTCTGGCCTCTGGCCAGTGGGCACTGGGGAGGGGCCGTGATGTGAAGTGAAGGGCACCTCCTCAAGCACTCTGTCTGAGGCGCCCATGAGGGAGGATGTGGGGCCACCTGCAGCCTCTCGGCAGAGAGAGGAGCCAAATGACAGCGTTTGGAGAGAGTGAGTGCTGGGTCCCCTCCACCCCCAGCCTCAGACTACAGACCACTCAGAAGCTCGGCCCCTGTCCTGTTACCCCATCTCAGTTAGGCAGCTGCAGCGTTGTCACCTACCAGGAACCATTCCTGCCAGGGTGGAGGTGGGGTAGCTTCCCTGGCCAGTGGGGGGCACGTGAGGGGGGTAACCAGGCAGAGTGGTGCTCGCCATGTCGCGACCTGGAAAACACAAAGGGGAAGGGGTGAGGGCTGGCAGAGGGCCTGGCTCTGCTCGCACCGGACCCTCCTGCACCGGGACAGGCAGGCCCACAAGTGCCTTTGCAGGGTGCCAGCTGTCGTCTGCATGTCTGCGTGTGTCTGCATTCGCTGTGCGTACGCTCCTGTGTCTGTGTCTGTGTCTGTGTCCTGCCTTCCCCGGCTCTGCATTCCAAACCCAGATGGAGGTGGGCGGGGATGACCTGGTTTTACTCCTCCTCTGCAAGATCTTCCTCTGTGTCTCTCCAGTAGCCAAGTGGACCTCTTATCATCTTGCTTACTTCTCCCCTCCCTAACACCCTGTCTTGCCTTCCGGCTCCAAGGACACCTTACCATCACCCCTACAGGGGCCGAGGGGCATGTCCTGTCTTCTCCAAGTGGAGCTGCAGGTGCTGGGCCTGGCAGGTGTGGAGGGCCGGGGACCAGCCAGTGAGCTATTTTGCTGTTAGTGTGTATGGCATTTAAATGGCAGAAAACCATCCCTGATGTGAATCAGGAGCTTTGAGCCAACAATGCAAGTGGATCAGATCAAATTCCAATAAGCAGAATCCATCCTCACTTCCAGCAGCTGCTGGAATTCTGGAAGGTGGGAGGAAGGGCTTCCTGGCCAGTATCCTGCAGTGGAGGCACAGGAGTCCGAATCCGGGAGATGCCCCTAAGCCACAGGCACTTCCCCTAGCTCTTGGCTGCACACAGCTGGCTTCCCTTCCTTTCCTATCCTCTGTTGCTGCGAAGGGGATACCACCTCCCTCTGCAATCATGAAGCAGGCTGCATCCTGCACTGACGACATTTGCTCTGTCCCCTCTCCCACACCCAGCACATGGCAGACTATTCCATCCTCTGCTGGGGCCCATAGGTCCTCTGCAGATTCTCCTTATCCTTGTCACCAGTGGTGCTGCCGCTCTACCCCTCTCGTGCCCTGGGAGGCAAGGTGTGGCAGGAGAAGCTCAAACAGCTATGCACACTGTGCCTGGCTTACTTCCTCTTCCTCAGCTGGTCCCCACCTGCTCGTCATCCCAGGACTGGTCCAGAGTGCTTTCTTGGCCACTGTCCCCGTGCAGGGGACCTCACCTCCTCCATTCCTGAGATGTGACACATCTGAGTGACTCATCCTTCTCCAAGTGTCCAACAGAGCTACAGCTGAGGCTTTGCATGTTTAGTTGCCTGCTGAGCATTGTCATTAGCTGTCCCACTGTCACCTCAGACCTGATAGAAATCAAAGCAGATTCATTTCCCTCCAATCATTTCTACCAAGTCTTTTGAAGACTGAAAGACCGATAACTTTGGAACCCTTGACAGTCTCCCTCCCCCCACGTGAAGCTGGCATCAGTGTTGTTGATTCTCTTTAGCCATGTCTCTTACATCTGGCTGGCTTCCATTTCCTCTAGCACTTCCATAGCTCTGGACTCAGGCACCTGCCGTTGGCTGGCCATGGGATTCTCCTTTGTGTGCACTTCCTGCCTCCACACCCTTTCCGTTCATCCCAGATGTGGCCCTTTGGGTGGCTCTTGGCTCTTATCACACCACTTCCCTTTAAAACCATCATTGATTCTCCAGAGGCAGTAGTCAGAATCAAACCTCTGCAGACTTGTAGCACTCTGCCCACCCAACTTTCTCAGCTCTGATTCTTACCCTGCCTGTTTTAGTTGACTCTACACTGTGTGTTGTAAAAGCTTTCACCATGACCTTTTCCCCTTCCTCTAGCTCAAGCCTCAAAATTCTTCCTGTCCTACTTATCGGGAAACTTTCTTTTAAACTTCTGTAGCATCTGAGCACAGATACCATGTCATTATATTGCACAACCAGCCCTGTTGCTTTGTATCATGACTTGATTCTTCATAGGCCAGCCAAGGGCAAGACTTGTCTCTTGCATAGAAGAGAACATGGTAGATAGATACTTGTTGATTAATTCTCTCTGTCTCCATTGCACTTAACAGCCAATTCCTAATGGGTCATAATTGTTTTTTAATTGTTTCATAAATGTTGATCTCCCACAAAGAGGTAAAACTGGGATGCCACGTAAATGAACCTGCTTTTTCTTTAAAAACAATTTAAACACAGTATTTTATGAGTTTTTATAGGAAGGCAAAAGATCTACAGTGAAAGACTGTTATGATTCAGCTTTATCATGTAATAGAATGATTTTCCTCTATAGCTGCTCAATGTAGCTAAAATCTTACATTCCCAAAACCTAATGCAACAAAGCATAACTGCCAAACAAAAGATCACTTCTGACTATGAGACAGAAGAACCTGTGTTTGATTTGTTGTCCATTTTTCTGTTGACTTCTGTTCTTAATAGAAAGTGCATATTTCCCAACCATCTCAGTGTAGTGGACCCAAAGTGGGCAATGACATTTTATTTTTTTGAGATGCAGTTCTCACTTGCCTCAAACTCCTAAGTTCAAGTGAGCCTCCTACCTCAGCCACCTGAGTAGCTGGGACTGCAGGGATGCACTATGGTAACAGCTCTATGAATTCCTAGGGAGATCAATAATATGGCACTTACTGGTCAGGAAAGGCCCAAGACAGAGGAGAGTTAGAGAGGATGTAGAGGTTTGGAGGCTAGACAGATACAGAGGCCAAGTTCTTCCTGGCCCTGTGGTCCTAACTACAAACCAGAAAGAGGAGTGTGCCTTTTTCTTAAAAACAAATTTAAATGCATTTGAATTCTGGTTTTTAGAAGCTTGGCTCCCTTAACCCTTTGCTCAGGAATCCCTCATAATCTAAGAGGTTCCCCCCCACAAATCGCGCCCCCTAGCTTCAGGAGAAAAAAAGGCTGGGCAACTAGAAAGCTACCTACAGCTAACCTGGCTCTGGTGGCCTTCCTCCTGCAGTCTGTTCCCACTGGAATAGCTTTCTCTCTTGCAAAATGGGATGGTCAACTTCCAGCAGGCAGAAACCTTTGCATGCTGAAAGTCATCCACTGAATGGTTGATTGGCAGACACATTTCCAAATTCTATTTTTAAAAACAAACTGAATCTGGGAGGCACCATGTGGCAGTTTTTTAAATGTGGGAGAAGAGCCCATGATGAGGAAGGAGCATTTGAACTTCTAGGGTCTAGTATACAGCTGTGCTCAGTTCTGTAACATCAGTGTCACCATAAAGATGGTCTGCTCAGGACCCCTGAGCAGACAGAGGTGCAAGCCACTGCGTACAAAACACCCTCAATGACTTCATTAGTATACAGGTGACACTTGAAGAGCAAGGAAACATTGACCAAGAATATACGCCAGAGCCACGTATTCTGGAACACCATTGTCAACAATGGAAAACACATATTGCAGGAAGTTTTCAAATTACTAAGATCATCATACCATTTGCCCAGCAGCATTCTTTGAGGAACCCTCCTTCAGTGAGGGAACATGAATGGGCAGTGGGACCTGTGCAGGGAGCACTCGACAGAGCACTGGCAGGTGAGGTACAGGATGGACAGACAGGTGTGGATGCTCAGACTGTAAGATGGCACAGCCACCTCCTTTACACAAACGAGCCAAAGCACAGTGGCAGAATGCTACATGGCAGAATGTGTCAGTTGTAAAATATGTGCCATCCAACAGAAGAGAGCAAGCTGTAAAGTATTGGTTTTGCTCACTGACAATGCAAGGAACATGAAAACAGCACCAGGAATCACAAAATGGATAGAAACTCACAATGAGAGGATGGGCATTTTCGTGGCTGCTTGGTTTCTAAGGTTACAAAGCTTTCCAAGAGAGCAGAGCCTTCCAATCTAAAGACGTCAGATTTCTTCAATTAATGTCCTGTTTTAGAGGTGAGGAAGTGAAGGCTCAGAGAGGCACAGTGACTTCCTGTGGCGACAGGGCTAGCACATGACAGAGCCAGAGTCTGACGCACTGTGTACACTGCACTGCTCTGAGTGACAGCGTGGAGCCAGATACTCCACGGAAGAGCCCAAGAAAAAGAAAAGGAGTCAGCTGACTGGCAGAATTGTACACCATCACACTGCTGCTGAGTTGAGACCAAAGAAAGAAAAAAGAAAAGGACACAAAGAATAAACTGACATGGAAGGTCAGTAATAAAACTCCATGGTGTGGAATATTAATCTCCTTTGAGAGTTCTCTAAAAAACAAAAAGCACTTCAAGAAAAAGTAGTAGTTGAGAAGCGTAAAGTGCTCAGAAGTGTTGGAAGCACTGTACTTGATGAGAATGTCTTCTCAGTCCAACTGCAGAAGTCCCTGAAGAGTCTAAAGCCAGTTTCTACAGCAATCACTACCTCTGAATCAGACAGTGCACTTTTGTCAGACATTCCTTAGCAAATGGGCCAGAGCAAATCAGCTGTTTTGGAGAATCTAAGCACAGCCTCTGAAGTACAGAGAAAAGCAAATGCTTTATTAAGAAATTGGAAAATTTTAGTCATTAGATAATTTGCTACTTGAATCATCAGGCATATGATCCCAGGGCAGAGCTGTGTTTCTCCATTCACCTTGCTGAGCACCTACTATGTGCTACGCAATATCCTTAATATGTTATATGTATTATTTCATGCTTACAAAAACTCTGTGATGTTGACCTATTTTTAATCCCTGTTGTAGACATAAAAAATGGAAACTCCAAGGAGCTAAGCGTTATGTCCAAGATTTCACAGGGATTAGATGGCAGCAGCTGACTACAGTACAAACAAAGAGTACAACTGGGAATTATTTTGGAATGATGTTCTCAAATACTGCAGAGCTAGAAAACAGATAGGTATTTGGTCCAGGCAAGTAGCCTGCGGTCATGTTAAGCTACTTCTTCCTGTAGCGGAGAATCTTGTGGCTACTTGTTTCTTGTGTTTCAGCTTCCTTTTCCACATGGGGGTTTTAATTTGGGGTTCAATGGTCCCATAGGATCATTCCAGGGGTCCATAGAAAGCCGGACATAAAAGGTTATAGATAATATATAGGAATATCTTTCTGGGTGGATAGTATGTGGCTTCTGTTATTTTAAAAAGTATTCATGTCTCAAAAATTAATAACCAATGCTTATAAAAACCAAGAGGACGTCTATTCTTTGGGAAAAGACACCGATTTGTTTGTAACTACTTGAATAATATCAATAAACCAGGCCATACAGGAAACAGCAAACTATGGACTGGGCATGCAGCTCAGGGGGAGAGGCCCGGAGTTCAAACCCCAGTACCTTGAAAAACAAAACCAACAAACCAGCAAAATGTGAAGTACAGCAGGGAAGCTATACTTCCCCAGTTCAGGAAGATGTCAGCATTCAGAAGACCAAGGAAATAATAAAAAGGAAGCTTCGCAAGAAGCAGAAACTGCTGCCTGTGATGGCCTCAGAAACAAGGCTTTTTAGACACAGATTTATACAGCAGAATTTATGCCCAGTGAGCTTAGGGAAACATTTCCTCAGCATCTTTCTCTGAAAATGAGCACTTTTGCTATCCACTTGACACTATGGAGGACCCTAAGGCCAGAAAACATAACTCTTGTTTTACTATCCTATCCTCAAGTTTTGTCTGCTTCTCATAAGGTGGTGAAAATGAAGACATTAGATTCTTTCAAGGTTGGCAGTCTGCTTGCATTTGACACAAGCATTTATAACATTACAGAAATATAGTTATTAAATTTAGTAATCACTGCCTAAATATACTCTATATTTGCATTTATATACCAATTATGATCCCTTTACGGCCAAGCCCAGTTACACAATACAGTGACAATCTTTGAATCTTTGGATCAAAGGATCAGGAAGGAGATTTTGCACATTTCATTTTCTTTGTTGCTTCCCAGGTTTCTAAGTCCCCCCGGAGTCCGTCCTCTGGGGCACTGTGTGAGTGTCTGTGGGAGGAAAGCCCAGCCCTGCTGCTGTCTTGGGTGGATGCAGCCTGGGGCTTGCCTGCTCCAGGTTCCAGCAGAGGGGGCTGTGCCCACAGCTCAGGGTGGCTGCTCCAGCTGATTGTGCCGCCCACTGACAGCTGGACCTGTAGTCCCTCGGGGGTCCAAGGTAGGGATGTTGCCCACATCTGCATGGCCTCAGTAAACTCTGCTCCTCAGCAGCCAAACAGCTGGTCGTGCAGCTGTGACCCTCACAAGGCTGAGAGCCTGCTGGCCCAGGGCCCCATGGAGGTGGACCACAGACAAGAGTGGCAGCCTCAGGTCCTGGCGCAAGACTAGGGGAGAACTACGTTTTCAGATGGCTGAAAAGGAGCATCGCTCCCTCATTTATGGAGGAGGAGACTGACTTGGGGAGAGCAGAAGAACTCTCCAGTGCGCTCCTCAGCTCACCTCCTGATGGTGCCTTCTCTGGCTTCATCAGCAAGCTGCAGAGGAAGAGCAGAGCTGGCCAGTTGCTGGTGCTGGGAGACTGGGGCCAGGCTCAGCAGGGGCTCAGTGCATGAGAGACCCCCATGCTGGTTGGGCAGAGGTTAAGCCTGTTTGCACAGTCTCCTGATACTCCAGGTCTCCCAGTTCCTCTCTAGCTTTATTTTGTTTTCTGAGAGGAATGAATTGTCAACTCTAATCCTTCTGAAAGCGCAGCGTTTTTCAGGCACTCTGTGTAAGTGAAACCCTAATCCCAAGGAAAACGGCCACTTAAGCTGCTGGAGCATTAGGCTGCTCTCAGACCTGCTGCAGGATTTCCTCCCTCCCCACCTGCCAGCCCAGAGGGGAGGATTCCAGGCTGAAGGCAAGCAAAGCCCTCTCAGAAGTGACAATAGTGGCAGAGCTACCTCCCAAAGCTCAGGGCTACAAAAGCACTGGCTCCTTTGCCCTGAGGCTACTCGAAGGGTGCTGGTGGGGATTATGATCTCCCAGGGGAAGCAGGAGGGGGTTTTCTGTCACCTTGGGGGTGGCTCTGGGGCAAACAGGTTTTCAGGTCTTGCCTAGGTGGCTTTGAAGCCCCTGAGACATTTCCAAACCCTTGGTCCCACACAGCATGTACCTATAAGAGTAACATGGACACCATTATTAAGAACTTCTGGTTATTCCGAAAAGGTGAGGTTGACAGATGTGGCTTCCTTAGACAGCCTTTGCTCTGTAGGAAGTACTGGATAATGCAGTAAAACAAGCACAGGGATGAGGGGTTCCCATTTTGGAGAGTTCCTCTTGCGGACACCCTAAGCCTCTCCACAGGTCTACAGCAGCTAACCGGTTTCTCCCCAGCTAGCTGGTCATGAAAGCAGTGTCCAGTGTGCCCGACTAGGCAAGCCTTTGTTAGCCTCAGTTGGCCACTATAGTGATTGCAGTAAAACAATATAGTGATTGTTGATGATTTGAAAATATTTTTACTCAAATCTGGACTGGCCTCTGTCCCTGATCCCGTACTGTGGAGGAACAAGTGCAGCCCGTTTGGCATGCTCAGCCTCTTGGTGTCTCCAGCAGAGGCCGAGGCGAAGGGAGGAAATGGGGGAAAGCCCATGGTATGGGCCAGTCGGGATCTGCGAAGAACAGCACAGAACCCCAACTCTACTGAGACGCCCCAGACCCTCCCCTGCACCGTCAGCCCGCATGCCTCTGCCAGTGCAGCCTCCTGGGGAGGGCAGCCTGCACTGCTGGGATGGCCAGCACAGACCTGAACCTGCTCAAAGGCGGCCGGCCTCTCCAAGCCCTGGAGTGGGCGTGTACCCTTCACTTCCCTCAGGTGGACAGGACACAGGAAGAGGGAGAGCTGGCTGTGAGGCTCCCTGGTCTTCAGGCCTGGGCACCCGTGTATCTGTCAATGTCTCATTGCTATGGAAATGCCCCGTAATTAAATCAAAGGGTTCAGGGACTAAAAGTCCTTGGGGGATGTATCTGCAGGAGCCTCTTTTGGGGGCCTTTTCAGCATGAACGGAGGGTCCAGGGCTTGTGGATGTGGAGCAGAAGCCATCTGGCTCTAGCCGGCCTCTGCTGTAAAGCACTCCCTGACTGTCATGGGCCCTCAGCCTCTCCTTTCAAGGTTGGAGAAGAATTCTGATGTCTGTGCCCTAAATTCCTCCAGCTCATCAGGGGCTTTGAGCCAACAGACAAGACGAAGAGACTCCCGGCCTCCTTCAGCAACACTTTTTGGCCTTTATGGCCCTCTCCTCCCCCAGGGGCAAGCCGAAGGCTAAGTGTTTTATGGAGGGAAGTGCAGTTGCATGGGAAGGGGTTGCTAACTACAGGAAAGGGGCGGTCCCTGAGGCCCTCAGGACTCCCTCCCTGAGCAGGAGGAGGTTTCCCAGGGTCTACACTAGTCCATCAAAAGGCCACTTTGCTGTCCACCACGAAGATGGGCAGAGTCCGAGGTGCTGAGAGGTGGCACCCTCTTTCCCACACAGAGCCCACCCTGCTCTCCTTCACCCCCAGAGGCCTGCTCAGCTGTGCGCTTGGGCTCATTGGCCTCCCAACCTTTGTTCAGACTTGTTCCAGGACGGGCCAGCACCTCCTGCCTTGGACCTTTCCCCCTGAGCAGCACCCACAGCTCCTCTGGGCCTTATTAGAGCTTCCACCAAAGCTGCGCTCTCTAAGCATTAAGGCGAGTTTCTCCCAGGGATTTGAAAGAAACTACTTGCTAGTGTAGGGAACTACCCACACGCTCCCCTTGTCCACAGCTCCCCAGCATTCACACGTTTTCCCCCCAAGAAAGGGAGGATTCTCTACCAGGACTCAGCAGTCTGCTCTACTTTCTGAGCTGCCTGAGGCTCAACACTCCCAGGGGCTCTAGACCCCCCAGACAATAAGCTAAGGGTATGGTCTTCATTCTTTGCCTCTTTTATCTCCATTACCCCACAATTGGCTGTGCTGAGGAAGGCTCCCTGGGAATCTGCATCTGTGATAAATATGAAACTCTTACTTCTCTTTGATCTGTTTAGAATACCAAACATGCTTACTTCATAGTTGCTTTTGGATTATTCTGTAACCTCCAATTCTTGGGGTTGTTAATTGTCCTACAAATCGCTTCTGCTAACTCTTCTTCCTGACAGTTCCTGTTCACAGGAGGCGTGTCACCCTAAGGTAAATTCATCGTCAGTGGTGGCCCTGTGGAGTCCCTGTGCTGTGGATCACAGACCGTCTCTACAGAAAAGGTTTGACATTATGGGGGTCCTGAGTGGGTCACTGTCTTGGCCAGTTGCTATGTAAATTCTCGACTTAGGCTTCCTGCAACACACTTGTGGCATGAATTTGGACTGTGATTCAGTCTTAGGTCAGCGGTCTTCATTTCCCTTGCTCTCTGGGCCAGCAGAACAAGCTTGTGTGCTTCCTGTCCCTCGGCGGTGTGGAGCCTGGCTTTCTGCAGGGTAGTGCTCAAGCTGCCTTACTGCCTCTCTCGTGCTCAGGCCGTCTTGTCTGGTGTCTCTCACATACTGCTCTGGCTCTTACTTTGCCTTCCTTTCTAGTATGAGAGAGGGAGCTTTGGCTGTGTATGAACAACTATTGCGGCTGTATTTTATCCAGCTCTATGTGCCAGTTAGCCTGCCTTGTTCCTGGACACCAGTCTCCGCCCCTCGTTACCTCTGCACCCTGAAGGGAGGGTGGCCCTGCAGCACTTGCCAGTGCCCACTAGAGGCCAGTGACGCTCGCCCGGTGCCCGGCTCTGAGACAGGTGAGTGTCCTGGCTTCTAAAGAGAGTATAGGCTGTGCGATCCCTGAGTTCTGCAGTCCTAGCTTGACCCGTCTGGCCTCTGGGGTAGGGAGCTTGCCCTCTCCTCAGGCTGGCCTTTCCTCAAGCCAAAGAACTCTCCAAAGCATCCCCAGTGACTTTGGGGATCCGGAAGCCATCCTCACTTTCCCCACCCAGATCAGCGTCACTGGTCACCGTCGGGGCTCTGCAGGCTCCCCTGTTGCTGTAGCCTGGCTAGGCCCGTGGAGGCAGGGCAGGGTGAGGAAGCCAGGGGAGGAGGGGCTGTTGTTTCTCCCATGGGTGGGCATTTCAGGAATGCAAACTCCAGCGTACAATTGCAGCCAGAGCCCACACTGACCAGAGAGCCCCGAGCTGCTGAGGGGCTGGTGGTGGTCCTCTGTGGGGTCTGATGGAGGGGTACAAAGGTGCCGAGCGGCAGCTGCTGAAGCCAACCCGAGGAAGCCTGGGGCAGAGTGTCCTGGCCCCTTCCCCCACCTGGCAGGCCTCCTTCTCCTTATCACTTAAGGAGGGACTCGGCTCCGTTCCAGACCAGCAGCCCAGAGCAGTGGGCCAGAGAGAAGAGATGCCACCTAGCTGGAGAGCCCAGCGGCAGAAGGGAGCGTGGGTGATAAATTTAAATAAGCAGCTTGACTTGGCAGCTTGCTGAGTTGTGATGCAGTGAAATTAAAAATCTCGGCAAACTTGCAAACATCTCTGAGAAAAATCGGTGTCTAGCTGTGGTTCCGTGATAGAAGGGTGCTGGAGGCTCGGGCTGGGCTTAGCCTCTGGCAGCTGCCCTTGCTTGCAGTAGGATCAGCTGTGTCCTGGCCCACTGGGCCCGCTCCCTCCCCGCACAGTAGCCCAGGTGCCTCTCTCCTCTCAGTCCTGACCTTGTGGAACAGCTGCCTCAAGGGGCTGGTGAAGTTTGAGATCAGCCCCCAGTGCCAGGAGGTGGCAGGAATGTTAACAAGGTCTGGCCTTGCAGGGAGGGCCAGGGCCTTCCTGGCCAGCCTCTTCAGGACCCACCCTGCAGGTGCGAAGCCCCTGTGGGCTGTCCCCAGGGAGGGAGCTGGGCTGGGTGCCTGTCCTGTGGGGACCAAAAGAGCTGAGCACAAGGCAGCCTGAGCCACACTGCTGGCAAAGGGTGACCTCGCTCCCCCGTCATTCTTGCTCCCACCTGCCCAACCACCCACCTCCCGGGAAGCAACTCCTCTTCGTTCTCCACCAAAGCTCTTGGGATTCTCCAATGAAACGAGTTGCTAATGCATCTTGGGGAGTTTCTACAGACACACCAAAAGCCTCTCCAGACCTCAGCCCAGCTTGGAACCCAGCTCTCACAGATGCCAACGCTGTTCCAGAACTCTCCTGAGGCCCATCTCTCCTGGCTGTCCCTGTGTCCTGCGAGTTGATGCCCACAGTGCTGGGTAGCCTATGAAGACTCTGGGCAGGGCCCCGTTTCTCACCTTGACAGTACCCCCAGCAAATTCGGTTTGTCCCCATGATTATGTCATGAATCATTCATCTTTAATAGATTATGCAAATTAGGAGGACATAAAATCAACAAAGATCAATAGCTGCAGCCGTTTAATTGCCAGCAAAAACATTTTAAGAGTGAGCATAATCTGCAGCCCTTTCTCGGGTAATGGCACTATTAATCCAAACATTAGACCCTGGCCTAACTGAGGAAAAATTGTTCCTCACCCCCCCCACTCCTCTCTTTTTGGTAATTTCCAGTTTCTGAGCGAGTTTCCCCGTCATTACCACTGGTGAACAGCTCCGAATGTTAATGGTTCTGCTTTTGTTACTCCTCGCTTGATTGAAATGTCGCATACAGATTGAGGTGTTAGTGCTAACTTGCCACCTGGGAATGTCAAGCTGGGTCTGAAATGAACTTTTCTCACACTTGGATCCAGATGGATCAGCCGGAGATGTTCCCAGGCTGAGCTGGGACCGTTCCAGGGCCATAGGGGGAGGTGGCGGAGACTGCTCAAGGTGGAGGCGCTTTTCTGCAGAGCCCCAGTGTGCCCCTCAGCAGGGGCCCTAAGCCAAAGACCCACATCGCCACCTCCAGGGAGTCCTTGCCTTGTGGGCCTGGGCCAGAGCACCAGGCAGCACCTCGGAACTGCAGAAAAGTCTCGTGCTCTTTCTCCAGGTGCCAGGGGAGACACCTCCAGAGGTGACCACTGGGCCTCTGCACAGAGAAGGAGACGGCTGGCCTGGTCTGGTGCGAGCACTCCAAGGATGGCCACAGAGGGCTCCTGTCCGGGCCCACTTGATCTAGGCTGTGTCCCACGCAAAGGCATCGCTCCCTCACCCAGTCAGCTCTCCAGCGCGTCCAGAACTCAGCTCAGGGTCCCTGCCAAGGACTGTTCCCCTCTGTCTGCCAACACCCTCCTCAGCAGGATGGGGGCTCCCTTACCCTAGGGGGCCGGTGCTTATTCCACGCCCATCCCAGCTGGAGCTGTGCTCAGACCAGCCCTGGCCTTCGAGGCCCGCCGCTCCCTGGGTTGCCGACTGGCTGCGGTTCCACTGCCAGGTCCCCGGGCTGCCTCAGTGTCTCCCAGTCCCCACGGAGACCCTTCTCAATCACCCTGCCTCTCAGGGGACAAACAGCACGTTGGCTTTAGTGTCTCCAGGATAGTTAGGTGAACTTTAGTAACACCTCGATGTGTCTCACCCACTTTGGGCACTCTCCTGGCCTGCAAACCCTTCTGCAGCCCGCAGCCCTTCCCGCATAGCTCCGCCAGCTGCCCCAGTGGCTCTTGACTCATGGGAGCTCCTGGGCAACAGGAGCTGCTGCGTTTGACCCTAGCTGGCCTTGAAATCCAGCCTTGGTCTCCATGACTTCTGGCAGCCAGGGAAGGCTGCAGTGACTGTGGTCCAGCAGAGACCTGGGTGCCCCCAAACCCAAAGCCAGTCGCTTGTGCTGCCAAGAGTGAGAGCAAGGGTTCCCAGGAGCCTTGGGATGTGGGGGCGTGGGGAGTGGACACCTGCCTACCGGCCCTCTGCATTCGTTGGCTCGGAAGTCTGGGCACCTTGGGGGAGGTGAGCCAGAAGGCAGAGGATGAGCAGGAGGACCGAAGCGGCTCCCTAGCTTCCGCCTTCCCAGGCTGAAGCTCAGACCCTCTGACCGCGGTGTTTTCTTCCCACCCCTGTCCTTTTGGAGGCACGCTCTCCCTCTCCGCCTCTCTGCAGCTATCACGGCAGGCAGGCGGCTTGCCACACCGGGCCCCAGACGGCACAGCCGAGGGGCCCTGACTGGAAGCGGCGACCCCACCCTCCTGGCAGCCCCCTTACCGGTCACGACAGGGTACGTCTGTGTGCCTGACACGTTGCTGCCCAGCTCGGGGTTGGCGGCCGCAGACAGACCCGATTTGACTTCATCAAGCCCAGGGGTCAGTGCTGGGAGGGAGTACTCATTCCCCTGTGAGGACAGAGAAAAGAGAGCTCTGTATTAATGCGCACACAGAGAACGGGCTTGGTGTGCAGATGGAGAGGAGGAACGGGGGCCCCAGACGGGCGGAAGGGGGAGTTCGGGAGGCACAGGCTGCACAGTGGTGGGGTTTCGTGCAGGCAAGGGTAGACCTGACCCGGTGAGTCGGACGCGAGTCTACACATCGCGCCGTTTTCCCACCACTGTACCCGTCAGCAGCACCTCCGGCCTCAGCAGCTCCAGGGCGAGCCTTGCGCTGGAGCTCCTCTTGCTGAGAGGTGCTGGGTATTCAGGTGTCCTGGGGATGGGGAGCCTTGGCGGGGGGACCTCGCCAGGGTGGCAGAGGCAGTAGCTGGGGGAAGGGCCTAGTGGGGCCTCCAGCCTGGCACGGCTGGGCTGGCTGATTGGGCATGGGCGCCCCTTTTTAAAAAACAAACAAAGACAGCCCCACGGGCCCCTCGCTCTCTGCCTGTGCACTGGGGTATGAAATTGGGAGGGGAGAGTCCACATGGCTAACAGAAGGTGGGAGGGGGCCAGCCATTGACTCTGAAAGGGTGTCCTGCCCGAAACACTCGGGTAATTGCCTTTTTATTGCAGCCACCGCCAAGCCAGACCCCAGAGCCGGGCAGGCCAGGAGCCTGCATAAAGCAGGAAAAGTTGCTCTGATTAATATTACCTTAAATTAAAACTGATTTTCTGCTCTTTCAGGTCTGTTTTTTTCCCTTCCGCTTCCTGGCGCCCCCCACCCCGGACCCCTCCCCTCCCTGGCTGGACGGGATTGCCTCGTCATTTCCAATTCCTTCTTGTATTGATCTTCCTGTAGAAATCAGTTTTGTAATTAGCTGCAAATTAGGCCTTCTACTGGGGGTGAAGCTGCCCCCTGATTTATCACCAGAGTAATTCGCTGTGATCGGAGAGAAATTAAAATGAACTCAATTAGGCTTCGGATTTGCTTTATGGGCCCTGCTCCGAGTTTCAGGGGGAAAAATGACTGTGCTGGTGTTTAATAGTCTAATGAAAGTAAATAAAGGTTATTCATTGTAATACAGCAGGGACTCGGGAGGTGCACTCAGCCGCCCGCCTCGGCCAGCTCCTCCTTTGTTGGTTTATGGCTCAGGGCACCTTAAAAAGACTTTTGATTTTTGTTTTATGAAGACAAACAGCTTATGGGATAAGAGGACGGGCGGGGAGAAAGATGAGTGGCAGAGCAGCGCTGTGCCGAGTGCAGCCCGAGGGGCCTTGCTGGTGTGCATGTGTGCACGCGTGTGTGCATGTGCCGAGGCACGTGCATGGGGCTGGCGGTGTGCCCGGGCTGGTGTGTGGGGGGCCACCCTGGGTGAGTGGAAGCGGGCCTGGGGCAGCGCATGTTTCTGGCTCCACAGAGAGGCTGGGGCGGTGACGCTGTGTGCTTTGTGAGGGAGCTGGTGTCGGGTGGGCACCAGCCTGCCAGGGCCACGCTGATGGCTGGGTGCAGGCGCAGGAGGCAGGCGGGGCGGCCCGTCCTGAGGCTGTGTGAGAGGAGCCCCCGTGGGCACAGACTCTCTGCAGGGCCAGCGGACAGATGCGGGGCGGGGCGAGGGACACTCCTAGGTGATCACGCCAGGACTCCCAGAAGGACACCGCTAGAAGGGTCCCGGTGACCTGTGTCGAAAGCCTTCGCTCTGCAGGTGAGAAACTGAGGCTCCAGAAGGCTAAGACTTAGCCCAGGCCGGCCTCTTGCCCCAGAGCGCTCTCCTAATTGTCGTTAGCATGGTGCTTTTCCTTCACTGCAGCCTCAGGGCCTGGCATGAGCACATGTCCCACGGCACCCCACGACACCCCACTGGCCCTCGCCCTGCCAGGTCCACTGTGCCTGCAGCCTGGAGCCACAGGAGGCCTCATCCCACATCCCTCCTCTTCTGAGCAGGAGGCTGCGCCCTCACCTGTTCTGATTTGATGTGCTCTGATGCCTGGAAGACATCAGGGTAGGACGGGCGCTCAAAGACTCGATCCAGAGCCTCCAGCTGCTGCTGGGTGAAGGTGTCAGCTCGCAAGTGCTTCCGCAAACTGTCCACACCGCTCTGGGAGTCTCCATTGGGGACCGAGCCCTCCGACACATCTGGGGAACACATAGACACCTGGGCATTAGCAGAGCACGCAAGGGTGAACAGAGGGGTGGGGTCTGGCTCTGGCCTCCACCGGGACCTCTTTCTTCCCGCTGTAGGCTACCTCAGAGGGCTGGCCGAGAAGCCAGAGCCCTGAAGGAGCAAGGGGAGGGAGGAAGGGGCACAGCCCAGGACAGGAAACCTGAGAAGAGGAGGAGGCAGACAGACTCCCTGGGGGCTGCCTCCCAGGCCCACCTCGCTGCCCGCCCGGCTGGACGAGCCTGGACGGGAGCTGGGCTCCCAGACTGGCATTACTGAGCCTGTAGAGAACGGAACGTGGCTCAAAGATGAGTTCCAGTTCCACCGATTCCAGGGGCTGAAAATCATCAAGTCTCTGGGGCTGAGTGAAGCAGTTACCTGTCCCCTGGTGGGGAGGAGGGCTCTGTCAGAGGAGTCACGTGGACCCGAGAGCACCCGCCGGGCACAGGACAGGAAGGCCTGCTCGCAGAGATCTCTGGCTCAGGCCTCCGTGCTGAGCCCACTGCTCTGCCCCTGACCCTGCTGTGGGTTTCCACGAGGAGCTGAGGCTCCACTGGGAAGTGTGGGCCTGGCGGTGCCCTGCTAGTGCCGCTCCCTTGGGCTGCCGCCAATCCTGCCTCCAGGGCGGGCTCCATCCGGCATCCTCTGGACTCCGGGGTCCCTGCTCCTGGCTTGCTGTCTCCCAGCTTCAGGGCCCTTGGGGCCTTCAGAGCACAGCAGGCAAAGAGCCCGGGCTGCCTCTCCCTGAACCCCCACCCTGCAACGCTTCGGGCCCAGCCCCAGTAGTCAGTCCTTGGGTCCCTCAGCCCATGACCAGCTGGGGAGCCCTGGGCCTGGGGCAGCCCAGGCTCAGGCCTGGTGCTCCTCTGGGACTGTTATATATATCAGTTTATAGGTGATTATACGATATGATATAATCAATACTGCATTATATACAGTAACACCATACAGTATCGTTTGGGAGACCATAGAAAATATTACATATTGATTAACCTCATCCTGCAGCCATCTACCCTCAGGGCTTCCGGCGTGGGGCACAGGGCTCTGCTTTTCTGAAGGGACCCTGTTTCTCCTCCATACTCTGCTCTGGAGGGGAGGGTGAAGCCAGTGTGTAGTGGGCTGGGTCAAGTCTGAGAGCGGGAGCGGTGGGCTCTGCGTTCCCATGGACACAGAACCTGGTGGCTGTGCTTTTCAGTGTAAAGTTCTGGAATACTTTTCAGTCTAGCGGGGGTGGGCATCCCCACAGTGAGATCCTGGGATGTGGCACAGTTTTTCCTTTTGTGCGTGTGCTCTCTGGACAAAAAGGGACTGAGTGTACTTGCAGGACAGAGCGGGAACCTTTCTGAAAGGGCACGTGTCCCCAGGCTTCCTGTGAGTGCTTCTCTCTCCAGGATGCATCACCCTGATTTCACTCCTGGTAGCTCTCTGCGTGTTCCGCTACCGAGCCTCTCCTCCTGCGGCCCTGCCTCTTAGGGAAGCCCTGTTATTAGGGCTGACGGTGGCATCCAAGGTCTTTGTGTGTGGTCGCTGAATGTCACCAAATGGGTCCTGGGAGAGAATGCACGTTTGTTTGTAGAAGGGTGTTCACACATGATGGTCCTGGTATGTGCATGTGTGTGCATGGCAGGCTCCCATCATACCTCTGTGTGTGGTGTGTGTGGGGGGCTGAACTGAAGCTTTGTCCTCAGGTCACTGGCTGGAGGAGTCTCTTTGCCTTCATTTATTCAGGGGCCCTTCAGATCCTGACAAATCTGTCACTCTAAATTTGCGAGAGATTATGGTGCTCTCTCCCCAGCCCGCAGAGAGGTGATATATGATATCTGCTGCCCCTATTGATTGCCTGATCTGGTGGCAGAGGCCGGCGAAATGAACTTGAAATGAACATCATGCCTCAACTCATTGTGCGTATAATACACTACTTAATCCCACATTTTTCAGCCGCTATGGAATTCAATTGATCAATCATGTTCCACTGATAGTACTGTTTTAGGGGTTATTGCTGCTCCCTCCACTCGCTGACCTTTTTATTTATTTATTTTTTTGCACACTCAGGCCCTGGTGGGGAGACAGGTTACAGAGGCGGCATGCACAAAAGTGGAGGGCAGAGGAAGCCTGCTACTGGACGAGCTGGCTGCGGGAGGCGGAGACTGGGAGGACAGGACGAGGAAGAGGAGGTGGGCAGCAAGGAGGGGCGGAGGAGCCGGGGACACAGTGGCTGGTGACAGCAGGCAGAGTCCTCCGCCAGTGGGAGGGGCCTGAGGGGCTGGGGGGAAAGGAAGGCTGCGGGCCACGGGCTCAGTCACCATGGATGTCGAAGGACCACAGAGCAGGGTACAGGGGCAGGGAGAGGGCAGGGTGCTCCTGGTGGGGACCGGAAAGCACCCCTCCCCAGCTCCTGCAGCCACAGGTTGACCCCTCTCTCCAGAGGAGGGGCAGTGAGGGAGAGGACAGGGAAGAAAGGAGGAGCGGAGGTTGGCAGAGGCCCTGGGTGGGAAGGGGCGAGGAGCAGCTTCTGGAAGGAGGAAGCCAGGGAGCAGAGGAAGGGCAAACGAGGAGAAGAAGGTGAAGCCGCCCTCACCGGAAGCCTGGGAGGTGTGGCCAGGGTGAGGACGCTGGGCGCAGGGGTGGAATCGGCTGGCTACCCTGTCACGAGTGCCTGGACATCCAGCTACGAAGGGCAGCCCAGGCCTGCATCGAGCAGGCCAAGAAGGCACAGGAAGAGGAGGAAAAGAACAGAGTAGCAGAGAAAGAGAAAGAAGCAAGGAAAGAGAGAACATAAAAGGAAAACAAAGTGGCTGACAGAGTGCCAACCCCTAGGCAGCCCTCCCAGAACGCCAGAGAGTTGCTCAGCATGGCGCTTCCCGAAGGCAGAGCCCCTGAGGCCACACTGAGGGACGGGAAGAGGCCCTGCTGGGCCCGATGCCAGAGGGCTCGCTGGCAGGACAGCCTGGAATAGAGCCACGGGTGGGGCATGTCCTCCAAGAGGGAGGGCTGCATGGAATAAATTGGGTACTGCAGCACCCACCAAGGAAGATCTCCCAGCAGCCCTGTGCCGAAGAGCCAGGCAGGCAATGAGCTCCTGTGGACGGGGTCACAGTTGATGCATTTCTGCAACCCAGTGCTGGGTCTGGCACACAGTGGTTGTCCAATGAGAGACTGATGAGTGAATGAGACTCCTGGGTGGGCTCATGATCAGACCCCTGCAGAGATTCTGGACTTTTGTTCCTGGTCAGTCTAGACCTGGAGCCCTCATCAGGTATGCCTCCCTCGTGGCCAGCTCGTCTAACAGCATCCCTTCGTCCCTGGAGGCATTTCTCCTCTCCAGCAACCCCATCCTGCCCACCTTCGGGCCTCAAGTCAACAAACACGGGCCGCTGTATTCCTGGTGAGGAACAGGCCCAGACTGGGAGCCGAAGCTGCCGTCCCAAGCAGATGGCTGAGGCTTCTCAGGGGAGGGGCCCTCCAGCCTTGCGGTTCTGGTCTTTCTGGAACAATTCTCATTCCCAGTGTTCATTCCCAAGCTCAGGCCATGTTGCCAGGTAGAGTTCAGAAGTCACGATTGCTGTAGGTTTAGTAAGGGTGACTGCCACCCGGAGCTAGGGAGAGCCACAGGCTAGTCTAACAGTCTTTATCTCTGGAGGGCCCCGCTCTGTCTCCTCTGCCCCCTGCCCAGCTACCTGGGTGGCATACAAGTATTAAGAGCTCCTTACATGCCATTGCTATACTTCTGAGTTCGTTTAAGCCTTCCAACAACTCCATGAGGTTAGTACTGATACCCATTTTAAGGATCAGAAAACTGAGGGAGGGAGAGTTTGAGTAGCTTATCAAAGGTTGTGCAGCTAGTGAGAGCCAGATGTGGAACCCAGGTCTGCCTAACTCCAGAGACTCCCGAATTGCTTCACTCTGCTGCCTGGGGGTGTCCCCAGGTCTCTGCCTTACACCCTCCCTGGCTGCAGCTGAACCCCGCAGCACAGGTGCTGCTGTGTGAAGCCTGCCCAATCACTGTAGAACATCTGGTCCAAATTCTTCATGTGACAGAGAGAAACTAGCTGGCTGGGTGAAGAGGAGAGCAGGCTCCTCAGCCCGGCTCACCAGGTGGCAGGACTCAGGACCAGAGGCCACTGCACAGGCTCCATCCACTGCAGTCTGCACACTCAAGGAGGACAAGCTCCACAAGCCCTTTTCTGGAACAGGAGATGATATAAGCTAATTAATCAAACAAACTTGGACATATATTCTTTCAAGGGGCATAAAGCTCATGTCTCCCTTGCCTGCTTCATATCTGCCTAGAACCTAACACGAAGTCTTCATAGATCTGAGGTCATCTGGGCTTCCCAGCCGCTATCCAAGGGAAGCTGGAGTTACAATGCCCTGCACTGGAGAGGACTCAGGCTTAGAGCCACTGAGGCTCGGGGGAGCGGCTGGCTCAAGGGCACAGCCAGTAGGGAGCCAGGAACAGGGAGGGGACTCAGTAAACAGCTGTGGACTGAGCCAAAGGACAGCAGCACTGCCCACTCAGCCAATGTCCAGGGGCTGGGGCTCTGGCACTGGGGCCCTGGCTGCTATGCAAACAGAGTTATAAAAGCAAAGGCCATCTTGACTGGAAAGACAGCCACTAACATGGTGACAGTGGTTACTTCTCAATCATAAGTGACTTTTATTTTCTTCTTCTCTAAGTCTTTTCATACTGTCCAGGCTTTGTGCAGTGAATATGTACTACTTGTAGAGTCACCATTAAAAATGCCTAGGGGTTGGGTGTAGCACAGTGAAACAAGTCGGGGTTGATTCCTAGCATCCTTAACAAAAAGAAAAGGAAAACAAAAGCCTTCTTCCCCCGAGCGAGCAGACAGATCTGATCTCTTCCCTCAGTTGTGCCCTCTCCATCGGCCCCTGGGGCAGAGCCTCACCGCACATCTCTCACCCCGGGCAGAGCCCTGCACCTCTGTCCTGAGGGTCTGAGCTCACAGGAGCATGC